TTAATTAGATGCTCTTACGATATGAAAGATTTGTAAATAATTTTATTCTGGGTCGAGACTGGGAAATTATTGTTCTGCAGAAATTGGTCAAGAAATATTGTGAGTGTTACTGAGAGGAAAAGTGTCAATTTATACCTATAACCACTTCCCGGGCGTAGACGTGTATATACGTATTACAGAAAGTGTCTTTTTCAGACATGAACAAAACTATAACGTTCAAAAAAAGCATCTACAGACGTATTTATACGATCTTAATTCCTTTATGTCCTTCTGTGCTTGAAACGGGTTCCATTGTGAACTGATACGTCTGGTAGAGGTGTTAGCCACCCATCTCGGGCATTTTAAAGACAATCAGTTTCGTAGTTACTATAATAAAAACAAATTTATAAAATCGTCTGAAAATGAAAAGTTATTCCCAAAACAATTGGCGGGAAAGAGGTTAAAGAATATTGTAATTTTTTGTGTTAATATCTCGATAACATAATGGAGACATTTTATTGGATGTGATCTTGGATAAAGATCAATATTGTTAGGAGAGGAAAAGAAAAAAATTTTTGATTATCGACTATAAAATCAAGATTAAAAATATCTACAATTTTCCTATTCGTGTTCGAAATATATATATATATATATATATATATATATATATATATATATATATATATATATATATATATATATATATGGAAGTGGTTATAGTAGTTCCAACGAGAGAAGTGTGTATGTTAAAAAGAAGAGAGAAAAAATATATTATGCTTTATTTTCCATAATTTTGATACACACTTTTCAGGTCTCGCAACATTTATCTGGCAAAAGAATGGATATTTCCACATATTATTAAAAGAAATTAATTTTTCTTATGTTTTCGATGTCAAATATTCTCGATATTAGACATTCTCTTTTTTGTGTTAGAAACCGAAATGACTTCCTTGAACTGCCTTTGATTATATATATATATATATATATATATATATATATATATATATATATATATATATATATATATATATATATAATTAATTAGGGTCTATTTTGTATCGTGCACTGTTTTTTTAAAATAATAACAAAAAACACTGTTTTTTTTTTAAATAAGTAAAATACTAAAAAATTGAAGTTCTTCCTATTTTCTATATATTTTCACACACACACACACACACACACACACACACATATATATATATATATATATATATATATGTGTGTGTGTGTGTGAAAAGTGTATATAAATATAAATAAATATATATATGTATAATTATTTATATGTAATATACATGGTACTTATTAAAAAGCGCTCAATATCCGAGATAGCGCTAACATACTGTCTGACGATCGCTAAAGCGTGAAACCCAGGGTCACAAACTCACATCTATCCAACTAAATATATATATTATAACATATTTATGTTATAATTAAATAAATTTAAATAAATAATATATATATATATATATATATATATATATATATATATATATATATATATATATATATATATATATATAATTATTAATCTTATTGGATGTGATTATATATATTAATCTTATTGGATGTGATCTTGGATAAAGATCAATATCGTTAGCAAAGGAAAAGAAAAAATTATTGATTATCGACTTTAAAATCAAGATAAAAAATATCTGCAATTTTCCAAGTTTTAGTACATGCTTGATTTTGGTTATCTCCAATTTGAAAATAAAACGTTTTTGTCCAAAATAATTGGCGGGGAAGACGATAATATAAACAAATAGCAAATGTCTTGCCAGAACGTGACTTTCCATATTGATGGCATGCATAGCGCTAAACACGTCCAGAAATATCTGAACTGTCAGCTCCATAAAACCGTCTTCTCATATCAATAGTTAAAAATGGCTCCGAGCGAATGAAACATATATGACCATAGTGAGGGCCATACTTTTCAAGCCTCATGGACTGGCACCGCTTAACTGGCACAGGAGTTAACCCATGAGGCTTTATTATTTTATTTTCAGGTTATAAATATACGTGTCGATAATGATACTCATTTAAAAATGTTATTGTTGAACTGTTATGTTTCTTTTTTCATAATAAACATTTTATAAAACGCCTGATAATTATGCACCAACCCAATATGATTCTCCTCATTTTAGATGGGAGAAGTTGCTCAGCCCCGGGGATTCCAAGCCTGTAGCAGCATCATTCCTTATCGCACTAAAAAGTTTGGATCGGTGTAGTACAAATGCCAGTGTGACAGTGGTCGCGAGGTCAGGGCAAAAATCAATTTTTTGTCACTGACCCATATGCATAAGTATGCATATGGCACTCCCCACGTTAAATATGACCTTGCGTCACATACGGCCTTGATGGGGAGGCCAGGTAAATATATCTGGCACTACAGAGTCACAAAAAAACCCCGAATGTACCAGATAACAGAAACCATATCACTTGAGGACTTTCAACATCTGTAACAACTAAAATGACTTGCACATCTAACTCGATGGGAATATAACGACATAAGCAAAATGTTGAGCTTCCACATTACTTCAAACAAAAGATTAGGAAGGAAATCCCCATCAATTCTGGAAAGAACGATAAGAATTACTGGAATTGAGGAAAAAACAATTTTTGTGAAAAATTGTTTTAATAGAAATATTTTATAAATATCAACTGACTGCAGCATTGGCAGCTTGGTCAATGAATGACAAATGTTTCCTTCTAAGGAAACGAATAATATTACCATTGCAATAATATTATATTGCAACTATTACAGTGTAAATTACGGTACGATATGAACAAACTGAGAGATATTATTTTAGAAAAGGATTTGAAAATGAATTGAAAATTAGTAAGAATAGGATACGACATGTAATAATGGATAGTATCAACCATTTTGAATTTTTATTTATTTATTTGTTTGTTTAACCAAGACTTGAATAAGTACCACAAATAAGAAATGTGAAACTATTTTAATTACGAGGTAAGAAATTATTTGTAGTCGGAAATTTGAAATTGTTTCTTCAGCGTTAAGTTTTCAAAATTTCTTCTCGTTCTCTCTCTCCCCCATATATATGTATAGAAAGAAAGAAAGAAAGAAAGAAAGAAAGAAAGAAAGAAAGAAAGAAATGAAGAAAGAAATGAAGAAAGAAATGAAGAAAGAAAGAAAAAAAGAAAGAAAGAAATGAAGAAAGAAATGAAGAAAGAAAGAAATGAAGAAAGAAAGAAAGAAAGAAAGAAATTAAGAAATGAAGAAAGAAAGAAAGAGGGATGAAGAGAGAGAAAGAAAGATTGTCCACGTATGCTTCTTACATATACGAGAAATGATCAAAAAATATCGGGAATGTTGCTATAGTAACGGGGCTAATTACACAGTGTGAAGTTGCTTTTCATGCATAGGCCTTGAACTATATGGCTCATGCACACAAAACCATAACATTATCCTTTGCTTCCGTTGTTTATAGCAGTGCTTGGAAGGATAGTGCGTAGAGTGAAATCAGAGCTTCATAAAACATAAAAATTGTACTACAATTAAAATAACTACCTTTTCTAACTCATAATTAAGTAATCATAACTTACTATATAAAATTGGATATGCAGGTGGTATAATGGTTAGTGGCTCAGAATGAGAAATCAGCAAGCAAAGTTTGGGTTCTGGTCAAGTTCATTACATTCACTTTCACAAAAATTCACTTGAAATAGATATGAATCCATGTCTTCTCCGTCCAGCTATGGATTACAGAAGGGAAGATTAGGGGCTCTAGTCATTGTTGCCAACCAGTCTGAGAGAAAAACGACGCTGGATAAAGTGTATGGTTTCAGAGGGGGACTACTTCGAAGGAGATTAAATGCCGAACTGATATGTGTTGTAGTTTTCTTTTTATAGCACCAGTCCCGTTACTTTTTAATCAAATCTGTTATAGGTTACTATACCTATAACAGATTAATGCTAAATAATACTAAGATATAACAGTAAAAATCGTCATTATTTATTGTTATGATTTCTTTAATTTCTGCTGCATATTCATTTCCTTCCGGGTACCCACCAGAGATCTAAGATCGGAAATGGTTTCATCACATTTTCCAGTGAACATGTTTAGAAAATAAAAATAAATATAAATCAACTTAAAATCGACACACATTTTATATAGATAAAGGCGTTCGTAGGGTGTTAGGTGTGCTTGTGAGAACATTTTTTTTTTGTATTTCTTCAAGACCTGAACTACCTTTGACTCATTTAATGTGTCTAATGGAATGTTTTCTAATCAAATCCAGGGTTTCAAAAACAGCAGGCATTATTTTACATTCGGTGGATACTAATAACGCACAACATGATACAAGATGTATCAATTGTTTCAGGATATTTGTCACAGAATCTGCATTTGGGGTCAACATAATTTTTCAGTATATTTCCTTGATAATTTCTAGTGGGCAAGCATTGGTCATGCGCAGCAAGAATAAAAACCATCAGCTAATCCTTTTAGTCCTACGTACTTCAGCAGTTTCGACATTCACAGCTAAGTCCCGCTATGTCATGTATACTGTGACAAATGATCACTATTTTCTTCGTATTGCAATAATAAGAAAGAAGATCTATTTAGATTGAGTCTTCGTAAGAATCGCTACTATGTGGAACAGACACATGACACAGACTTCCACAGAATATTCTCGTATTATCTCTCGGGAGAATGTTCTTGCAAGTTATCTCCTTACCACTCCACAGAACACAGAATTTCCTCGTATCATCCCTCGGAAGAATGATCTTGCAAGATATTTCATTAGATTGTCTCGTATTATGTCTCGGAAGAATGTTCTCCAGAGAAGAATGTTCTGATTGTCTCGTATTGTCTCAAGATATCTCATTAGCCTCTCCAGAAATGTCTCGGAAGAATGTTCTTGCAAGCTATCTCATTAGTCTCTCCAGAGAAAACAGAATTGTATCGTATTAGGTCTCGGAAGAATGTTCTTGCTATCATTAAAAGATATCTCATGAAGCCTCCAGAGAAAAATCTGAATTGTCTCGTATTCTCGGAAGAATGTTCTTGCAAGATATCTCATTAGCCTCTCCAGAAAACAGAATTGTCTCGTATTATCTCTTGGAAGAATGTTCTTGCAAGATATCTCATTAGCCTCTTAGTCTCTCTCAGAGAAAACAGAATTGTCTCGTATTATCTCTCGGAAGAATGTTCTTGCAAGATATCTCATTAGCCTCTCAGAGAAAACTGAATTGTCTGTTATTATCTCTCGGAAGAATGTTCTTGCAAGATATCTCATTAGCCTCTCAGAGAAAACTGAATTGTCTCATATTATCTCCGGAAGAAGCAAGATAAAGCCTCTCAGAAAATTGTCTCTATTATCTCTCGGAAGAATGTTCTTGCAAGATATCTCATTAGCTCTCCAGAGAAAACAGAATTGTCTCGTATTATCTCTCGGAAGAATGTTCTTGCAAGATATCTCATTAGCCTCTCCAGAGAAAAAAATCTCTCTCGGAAGAATGTTCTTGCAAGAATTGTCTCTGTATTATCTCTCGGAAGAATGTTCTTGCAAGATATCTCATTAGCCTCTCCAGAGAAAACAGAATTGTCTCATATTATCTCTCGGAAGAATGTTCTTGCAAGATATCTCATTAGCCTCTCCAGAGAAAACAGAATTGTCTCGTATTATCTCTCGGAAGAATGTTCTTGCAAGATATCTCATTAGCCTCTCAGAGAAAAAACAGAATTGTCTCTGTATTATCTCTCGGAAGAATGTTCTTGCAAGATATCTCATTAGCCTCTCCAGAGAAAACAGAATTGTCTCGGAAGAATGTTCTTATTCTCATTAGCCTCTCAGAGAAAAGAATGTTCTCTCGGAAGAATATGCAATATATCTCATTAGCCTCTCCAGAGAAAAAAATTTTCTCGTAAGAAATGTTCTTCAATATCTATTATCTCTCAGGAAAAAAGAATGTTCTCTGCAAGCCAATATATCTCATTAGCCTCTCCAGAGAAAACAGAATTTGTCTCGTATTATCTCTCGGAAGAATGTTCTTGCAAGATATCTCATTGCCTCTCAGAGAAAAACAGAATTGTCTCGTATTATGTCTCGGAAGAATGTTCTTGCAAGATATCTCATTAGCCTCTCCAGAGAAATTATGTCTCGGAAGAATGTTCTTGCAAGATATCTCATTAGTCTCTCAGAGGAAGATTATCTCTCGGAAGAATGTTCTTGCAAGATATCTCATTAGCCTCTCCAGAGAAAACACAGAATTGTCTCGTATTATCTCTCGGAAGAATGTTCTTGCAATATATCTCATTAGCCTCTCCAGAGAAAAACAGAATTTTCTCGTATTATCTCTCGGAAGAATGTTCTTGCAAGATATCTCATTAGCCTCTCCAGAAAACAAATTGTCTCGTATTATCTCTCGGAAGAAATGTTCTTCAAGATATCTCATTAGCCTCTCCAGAGAAAACAGAATTGTCTCTGTATTATCTCTCGGAAGAATGTTCTTGCAAGATATCTCATTAGCCTCTCCAGAAAAACAGAATTGAATGTTCTCGTATTATCTCTCGGAAGAATGTTCTTGTTCAAGATATCTCATTAGCCTCCAGAGAAAACTCTCGTATTATCTCTCGGAAAACAAGATAATTGTCTCCTAGAAAACAGAATTATATCTCGGAAGAATGTTCTTGCAAGATATCTCATTAGCCTCTCCAGAGAAAACAGAATTGTCTTGTATTATGTCTCTGAAGAATGTTCTTTGCAAGATATCTCATTAGCCTCTCAGAGGAAGAATGTTCGTATTTCTCTCGGAAGAATGTTCTTGCAATATATCTCATTAGCCTCTCCTCCAAATTGTCTCGTATTATCTCTCGGAAGAATGTTCTTGCAAAGATAATTAACCTCTCCAGAGAAAACAAATTGTCTCGTATTATGTCTCGGAAGAATGTTCTTGCAAGATATCTCATTAGCCTCTCCATAGAAAACAGAATTTTCTCGTATTATCTCTCGGAAGAATGTTCTTGCAAGATATCTCATTAGCCTCTCCAGAGAAAAACAGAATTGTCTCGTATTATCTCTCGGAAGAATGTTCTTGCAAGATATCTCATTAGCCTCTCCAGAAAAAGAAAACAGAATTGTCTCGTATTATGTCTCGAAGAATGTTCTTGCAAGATATCTCATTAGCCTCATTCCAGAGAAAACAGAATTGTCTCGTATTATCTCTCGGAAGAATGTTCTTGCAAGATATCTCATTAACCTCTCCAGAGAAAAACAGAATTGTCTCGTATTATCTCTCGGAAGAATGTTCTTGCAAGATATCTCATTAGCCTCTCCATAGAAAAAAAACAGAAGAATGTTCTCAAGATATCTATTAGCCTATCTCTCTCGGAAGAATGTTCTTGCAAGATATCTCACTCTCCAGAGAAAAAAGAATTGTCTCGTATTATCTCTCGGAAGAATGTTCTTGCAAGATATCCATTAGAGAAAACAGAATTGTCTCGTAATATGTCGTATTATGTCTCGGAAGAATGTTCTTGCAAGATATCTCATTAGTCTCCAGAAAACAGGGTGTCTCAGAGAAAACAAGATAATTGCCTCTCCATAGAAAACAGAATTGTCTATATTATCTCTCGGAAGAATGTTCTTGCAAGATATCTCATTGTCTCGTATTATCTCTCGGAAGAATGTTCATATCTCAGAGAAAACAGAATTGTCTCGTATTATCTCTCGGAAGAATGTTCTTGCAAGCTATCTCATTAGCTCTCCAGAGAAAAACAGAATTGTCTCGTATTATCTCTCGGAAGAATGTTCTTGCAAGATATCTCATTAGCCTCTCCAGAGAAAACAGAATTGTCTCGTATTATGTCTCGGAAGAATGTTCTTCCAAGATATCTCATTAGCCTCTCCAGAGAAAACAGAATTGTCTCGTATTATGTCTCGGAATAATGTTCTTGCAAGATATCTCATTAGCCTCACCAGATAAAACAGAATTGTCTCGTATTATCTCTCGGAAGAATGTTCTTGCAAGATATCTCATTAGCCTCTCCAGAGAAAACAGAATTGTCTCGTATTATCTCTCGGAAGAATGTTCTTGCAAGGTATCTCATTAGCCTCTCTCCAGAAAACAGAATTGTCAGAATTGTCTCGTATTATGTCTCGGAAGAATGTTCTTGCAATATCTCATTAGCCTCTCCAGAAAACAGAATTGTCTCGTATTATCTCCAGAAGCAAATAAAACAGAATTGTCTCGTATTATCTCTCGGAAGAATGTTCTTGCAAGATATCTCATTAGCCTCTCCAGAGAAAAAAAAAACAGAATTGTCTCGTATTATCTCTCGGAAGAATGTTCTTGCAAGATATCTCATTAGCCTCTCCAGAGAAAACAGAATTGTCTCGTATTATCTCGGAAGAATGTTCTTGCAAGATATCTCATTAGCCTCTCCATAGAAAAACAGAATTGTCTCTCGTATTATCTCTCGGAAGAATGTTCTTGCAAGATATCTCATTAGCCTCTCCAGAGAAAACAGAATTGTCTCGTATTATGTCTCGGAAGAAGAATGTTCTCCAGAGAAAACAGAATTGTCAAGATATCTCATTAGCCTCTCCAGAGAAAACAGAAGAATCGGAAGAATGTTCTTCAAACTATCTCATTAGCCTCTTATATCTCTCGGAAGAATGTTCTTGCAAGATATCTCATTAGCCTCTCCAGAGAAAACAGAATTGTCTCGTATTATGTCTCGGAAGAATGTTCTTGCAAGCTATCTCGTTAGCCTCTCAGAGAAAAGAATTGTCTCGTATTATCTCTCTCGGAAGAATGTTCTTGCAATATATCTCATTAGCCTCTCCAGAAAAACAGAAAGTATTATCTCTCGGAAGAATGTTCTTGCAAGATATCTCATTAGCCTCTCCAGAGAAAACAGAATTGTCTCGTATTATCTCTCGGAAGAATGTTCTTGCAAGATATCTCATTAGCCTCTCCAGAGAAAACAGAATTGTCTCGTATTATGTCTCGGAAGAATGTTCTTGCAAGATATCTCATTAGTCTCTCCAGAAAAACAAGAATTGTCTCTCGGAAGAATGTTCTTGCAAATATCATTAGCCTCTCCGGAAGAATGTTCGGAAAATGTTCTTGCAAGCTATCTCATTAGCCTCTCCAGAGAAAACAGAATTTTCTCGTATTATCTCTCGGAAGAATGTTCTTGCAAGATATCTCATTAGCCTCTCCATAGAAAACAGATTTGTCTCTTATTATCTCTCGGAAGAATGTTCTTGCAAGATATCTCATTAGCCTCTCCAGAGAAAAAAATTGTCTCAGAATCTCGGAAGAATGTTCTTGCAAGATATCTCATTAGCCTCTCCAGAGAAAAGAATTGTCTCGTATCTCTCGGAAGAATGTTCTTATAAAGATATCTCATTAGCCTCTCCAGAGAAAACAGAATTGTCTCTGTATTATCTCTCGGAAGAATGTTCTTGCAAGATATCTCATTAGCCTCTCCATAGAAAACAGAATTGTCTCGTATTATCTCTCGGAAGAATGTTCTTGCAAGATATCTCATTAGCCTCTCCAGAGAAAAAGAACGTATTAGAATTGCAATATATCTCATTCTCTCCAGAAAATTATCTCGTATTATCTCTCGGAAGAATGTTCTTGCAAGATATCTCATTAGCCTCTCCAGAGAAAACAGAATTGTCTCAGTATTATCTCTCGGAAGAATGTTCTTGCAAGATATCTCATTAGCCTCTCCAGAGAAAATCTCTCGGAAGAATTGTCTCGTATTATTCTCTCAGGAAGAATTTCTTCTCGGAAGAATGTTCTTGCAAGATATCTCATTAGCCTCTCCAGAAGAAAAAAGAATTGTCTCGTATTATCTCGGAAGAATGTTCTTGCAAGAAGAAAACAAATTGTCTCGGAAGAATGTTCTTGCAAGATATCTCATTAGCCTCTCCAGAAAAACAGAATTGTCTCGTATTATCTCTCGGAAGAATGTTCTTGCAAGATATCTCATTAGCCTCTCCAGAAAACAGAATTGTCTCGTATTATCTCTCGGAAGAATGTTCTTGCAAGATATCTCATTAGAATTTCTCGTATTATCTCCAGAAGAAACAAGATAATTAACCTCTCCAGAAAACAGATTTGTATTATCTCTCGGAAGAATGTTCTTGCAAGATATCTCATTAGCCTCTCCAGAGAAAACAGAATTGTCTCATATTATGTCTCGGAAGAATGTTCATTAGCCTCTCCAGAAAAGATATCTCATTATCTCTCCAGAGAAAACAGAATTTTTGTCTCGGAAGAATGTTCTTGCAATATTATCTCTCAGGAAGAATGTTCTTGCAAGATATCTCATTAGCCTCTCCAGAAAAGAATTTTTCTCGTAAAAACAAGAATTAAATCTCTCAGAAAAATGAATTGTTTCGTATTATCTCTCGGAAGAATGTTCTTGCAAGATATCTCATTAGCCTCTCTCCAGAGAAAACAGAATTGTCTCGTATTATGTCTCGGAAGAATGTTCTTGCAAGATATCTCATTAGCCTCTCCAGAGAAAAACAATTTTCTCGTATTATCTCTCGGAAGAATGTTCTTGCAAGCTATCTCATTAGCCTCTCCAGAGAAAACAGAATTGTCTCGTATTATCTCTCGGAAGAATGTTCTTGTAAGATATCTCATTAGCCTCTCAGAGAAAACAGAATTGTCTCGTATTATCTCTCGGAAGAATGTTCTTGCAAGAATCTCATTAGCCTCTCCAGAGAAAACAGAATTGTCTCGTATTATCTCTCGGAAGAATGTTCTTGCAAGATATCTCATTAGCCTCTCAGAGAAAAACAGAATTGTCTCGTATTATCTCTCGGAAGAATGTTCTTGCAAGATATCTCATTAGCCTCTCCAGAGAAAACAGAATTGTCGTATTATCTCTCGGAAGAATGTTCTTGCAAATATCTCATTAGCCTCTCAGAGAAAACATTATCTCGTATTATCTCTCGGAAGAATGTTCTTGCAAGATATCTCATTAGCCTCTCCAGAAAACAGAATTGTCTCGTATTATCTCGTATTATGTCTCGGAAGAATATTTCTTGCAAGATATCTCATTAGCCTCTCCAGAGAAACAGAAGTATTATCTCTCGGAAGAATGTTCTTTGCAAGATATCTCATTAGCCTCTCCAGAGAAAACAGAATTGTCTCGTATTATGTCTCGGAAGAATGTTCTTGCAAGATATCTCATTAGCCTCTCCAGAGAAAACAGAATTGTCTCGTATTATCTCTCGGAAGAATGTTCTTGCAATATATCTCATTAGCCTCTCCAGAGAAAAACAGAAGTATTATCTCTCGGAAGAATGTTCTTGCAAGATATCTCATTAGCCTCTCCAGAGAAAAACAGAATTGTCTCGTATTATCTCTCGGAAGAATGTTCTTGCAAGATATCTCATTAGCCTCTCCAGAGAAAACAGAATTGTCTCGTATTATCTCTCGGAAGAATGTTCTGCAATATCTCATTAGTCCTCTCAGAGAAAACAGAATTGTCTCGTATTATCTCTCGGAAGAATGTTCTTTGCAAGATATCTCATTAGCCTCTCCATAGAAAACAGAATTTTCTCGGAATCTCTCGGAATGTTCTTGCAAGATATCTCATTAGCCTCTCCAGAACAAAAACAGAATTGTCTTGATATTATCTCTCGGAAGAATGTTCTTGCAAGATATCTCATTAGTCTCCAGAAAACAGAATTGTCTCGTATTATGTCTCGGAAGAAAAATTAGCCTCTCAGAAAACAGAATTGTCTCGTATTATGTCTCGGAAGAATGTTCTTCCAAGATATCTCATTATCCATAGAAAACAGAATTGTCTCGTATTATCTCTCGGAAGAATGGAAGAATCATTAGCCTCCAGAGAAAACAGAATTGTCTCGTATTATCTCGGAAGAATGTTCTTGCAAGATATCTCATTAGCCTCCAGAGAAAAACAGAATTGTCTCGTATTATCTCTCGGAAGAATGTTCTTGCAATATATCTCATTAGCCTCTCCAGAGAAAACAGAATTGTCTCGTATTATCTCTCGGAAGAATGTTCGTATTCTTCTCTCAAGATATCTCATTAGCCTCTCCAGATAAAAAACAGAATTGTCTCGTATTATCTCTCGGAAGAATGTTCTTGCAAGATATCTCATTAGCCTCCAGAGAAAAAATTGTCTCGTATTATCTCTCAGAATTGTTACCAAGATATCTCATTCTCTCAGAAAAAGAATGTTCGTATTATCTCTCGGAAGAATGTTCTTATCTCATTAGCCTCTCCAGAGAAAACAGAATTGTCTCGTATTATCTCTCGGAAGAATGTTCTTGTTCAAGATATCTCATTAGCAAGATATCTCATTCTCTCCAGAGAAAAAACAGAATTGTCTCGTATTATCTCTCGGAAGAATGTTCTTGCAAGATATCTCATTAGCCTCTCCAGAGAAAACAGAATTGTCTCGTATTATCTCTCGAAGAAAAACAAGATATTTAGCCTCTCCAGAAAACAGAATTGTCTCGTATTATCTCTCGGAAGAATGTTCTTGCAAGATATCTCATTAGCCTCTCCAGAAAAAACAGAATTGTCTCGTATTATGTCTCGGAAGAATGTTCTTGCAAGATATCTCATTATTAGAATTTTCTCGTATTATCTCCAGAGCAATATATCTCATTAAAAAAACAGAATTTTCTCGTATTATCTCTCGGAAGAATGTTCTTGCAAGATATCTCATTAGCCTCTCCAGAGAAAACAGAATTGTCTCGTATTATCTCTCGGAAGAATGTTCTTGCAAGATATCTCATTAGCCTCTCCAGAGAAAACTGAATTGTCTCGTATTATCTCTCGGAAGATTGTTCTTTCGATATCTATTAGCCTCTCCAGTAAAAACAGAATTGTCTCGTATTATCTCTCGGAAGAATGTTCTTGCAAGATATCTCATTAGTCTCTCCAGAGATAAAACAGAATTTTCTCGTATTATCTCTCGGAAGAATGTTCTTGCAAGATATCTCATTAGCCTCTCCAGAGAAACAGAATTTTCTCGTATTATCTCTCGGAAGAATGTTCTTGCAAGATATCTCATTAGCCTCTCCTCCAGAAAACAGAATTGTCTCGTATTATCTCTCGGAAGAATGTTCTTGCAAGATATCTCATTAGCCTCTCAGAGAAAACAAAAAATTATCTCTCGGAAGAATGTTCTTGCAAGATATCTCATTAGCCTCTCCAGAGAAAACAGAATTGTCTCGTATTATCTCTCGGAAGAATGTTCTTGCAAGATATCTCATTAGCCTCTCCAGAAAAAAACAGAATTGTATTATTGTCTCGGAAGAATGTTCTTGCAAGATAAAGCCTCTCCAGAATTGTCTCGTATTATCTATGTTCTTGCAAATATCTCATTAGCCTCTCCAGAGAAAACAGAATTCTCTCGTATTATCTCTCGGAAGAATGTTCTTGTAAGATATCTCATTAATCTCTCAGAGAAAACAAGATATGTCTCGCCTCTATCGTATCTCTCGGAAGAATGTTCTTGCAAGATATCTCATTAGCCTCTCCATAGAAAACAGAATTCTCCATCTCTAGAAAAACAAGATATCTCATTAGCCTCTCCAGAAAACAGAATTATCTCTCGGAAGAATGTTCTTGCAAGATATCTCATTAGCCTCTCCAGAGAAAACAGAATTGTCTCGTATTATCTCTCGGAAGAATGTTCTTGCAAGATATCTCATTAGCCTCTCCAGAAAACAGAATTGTCTCGTATTATCTCTCGGAAGAATGTTCTTGCAAGATATCTCATTAGTCTCTCCATAGAAAACAGAATTTTCTCGTATTATGTCTCGGAAGAATGTTCTTGCAAGATATCTCATTAGCCTCTCCAGAGAAAACAGAATTGTCTCGTATTATCTCTCGGAAGAATGTTCTTGCAAGATATCTCAGAGAAAACAGAATTAGCCTCTCCAGATATCTCATTAGCCTCCAGAAAAACAGAATTGTCTCGTATTATCTCTCGGAAGAATGTTCTTCAAGATATCTCATTAGTCTCTCAGAGAAAACAGAATTGTCTCGTATTATCTCTCGGAAGAATGTTCTTCAAGATATCATTAGCCTCTCCATAGAAAAAAGAATTGTCTCGTATTATCTCTCGGAAAAGAATGCAAGATATCTCATTAGCCTCTCCAGAGAAAACAAGAATTGTCTCGTATTATCTCTCGGAAGAATGTTCTTGCAAGATATCTCATTAGTCTCTCAGAGAAAACAGAATTGTCTCGTATTATGTCTCGGAAGAATGTTCTTGCAAGATATCTCATTAGCCTCTCCAGAGAAAACAGAATTTTCTCGTATTATGTCTCGGAAGAATGTTCTTGCAAGATATCTCATTAGTCTCTCCAGAGATTAGAATTGTCTCGTATTATCTCTCGGAAGAAAACAGATATCTCATTAGTCTCTCCAGAAAACAGAATTGTTGTATTATCTCTCGGAAGAATGTTCTTGCAAGATATCTCATTAGCCTCTCCAGAGAAAACAGAATTGTCTCGTATTATGTCTCGGAAGAATGTTCCAAAAGATATCTCATTAGCTCCTCCAGAGAAAACAGAATTGTCTCGTATTATCTCTCGGAAGAATGTTCTTGCAATATATCTCATTCTCTCCAGAAAACAGAATTGTCTCGTATTATCTCTCGGAAGAATGTTCTTGCAAGATATCTCATTAGTCTCTCCATAGACAAATCTCTGTCTGAAGAATGTTCTTGCAAGATATCTCATTATCTCTCCAGAGAAAAACAGAATGTTCTCGGAAGAATGTTCTTGCAAGATATCTCATTAGCTCTCTCCATAGAAAACAGAATTTTCTCGTATTATCTCTCGGAAGAATGTTCTTGCAAGATATCTCATTATCTCTCCATAGAAAACAGAATTGTCTCGTATTATCTCTCGGAAGAATGTTCTTGCAAGATATCTCATTAACTCTCCATAGAAAACAGAATTGTCTCGTATTATCTCTCGGAAGAATGTTCTTGCAAGATATCTCATTAGCCTCTCCAGAGAAAATTATGTCAGAATTGTTCTTCAAGATATCTCATTAGCCTCTCCAGGAAGAATTTTCTCGTATTATCTCTCGGAAGAATGTTCTTGCAAGATATCTCATTAGTCTCTCCAGAGAAAACAGAATTGTCTCGTATTATCTCTCGGAAGAATGTTCTTGCAAGATATCTCATTAGTCTCTCCAGAGAAAACAAATCTCTCGGAAGAATGTTCTTGCAAGATTGCCTCTCCATAGAAAACTCGTATTATCTCTCGGAAGAATGTTCTTGCAAGATATCTCATTATATCTCTCTCCAGAGAAAACAGAATTGTCTCGTATTATCTCTCGGAAGAATGTTCTTGCAAGATATCTCATTAGCCTCTCCAGAGAAAACAGAATTGTCTCGTATTATCTCTCGGAAGAATGTTCTTGCAAGATATCTCATTAGCCTCTCCAGAGAAAAAGAATTGTCTCGTATTATGTCTCGGAAGAATGTTCTTGCAAGATATCTCATTAGCCTCTCCATATCTCGTATTATGTCTCGGAAGAATGTTCTTGCAAGATATCTCATTAGAGAAAACAGAATTGTCTCGTATTATCTCTCGGAAGAAATGTCTCATTAGCCTCTCCAAGATGTCTCCATGAAAAGAAGAATTGCCTCTGTATTATCTCTCGGAAGAATGTTCTTGCAAGATATCTCATTAGCCTCTCCAGAGAAAAAAACAGAATTGTCTCGGATGAATGTTCTTATTATCATTCTCTCGGAAGAAGAATCATTAGCCTTCAGTGAAAACAGAATTGTTCTGTATTATGTCTCGGAAATTATATATCTCATTAGCCTCTCCATAGAAAATCTCTCGGAAGAATTCTTCTATCTATTATCTCTCCGGAAGAATGTTCTCTCGGAAGAATGTTATCTCATTAGCCTCTCCATAGAAAACAGAATTGTCTCGTATTATCTCTCGGAAGAATGTTCTTGCAAGATATCTCATTAGCCTCTCCAGAGAAAACATAAGAATTGAATGTTCTTCAAGTATTATCTCTCTCGGAAGAATGTTCTTGCAAAGATATCTCATTAGTCTCTCCATAGAAAACAGCAAATTGTCTCGTATTATGTCTCGGAAGAATGTTCTTGCAAGATATCTCATTAGCCTCTCCAGAAAACAGAATTGTCTCGTATTATGTCTCGGAAGAATGTTTTTGCAAGATATCTCATTAGCCTCTCATAGAAAACAGAGAAAACAGATATCTCATTAGCCTCTCCAGAGAAAACGAATTTCTATTATCTCTCGGAAGAATGTTCTTGCAAGATATCTCATTAGTCTCTCCAGAGAAAACAGAATTGTCGGAAGAATGTTCGTATCTCATTAGTCTCGGAAGAATGTTCTTGCAATATTCTCATTGCAAGATATCTCATTATCCTCTCTCCAGAGAAAAACAGAATTGTCTCTGTATTATCTCTCGGAAGAATGTTCTTGCAAGATATCTCATTAGCCTCTCCAGAAAAAACAAATTTTCTCGTATTATCTCTCGGAAGAATGTTCTGCAAGATATCTCATTAGTCTCTCATAGAAAAAGAATTGTTCGTATTATCTCTCGGAAGAATGTTCTTGCAAGATATCTCATTAGCCTCTCCAGAGAAAACAGAATTGTCTCTGTATTATCTCTCGGAAGAATGTTCTTGCAAGATATCTCATTAGCCTCTCCATAGAAAACAGAATTGTCTCGTATTATCTCTCGGAAGAATGTTCTTGCAATATATCTCATTAGCCTCTCCATAGAAAACAGAATTGTCTCGTATTATCTCTCGGAAGAATGTTCTTGCAAGATATCTCATTAGCCTCTCCATAGAAAAACATTGTCTCGTATTATCTCTCGGAAGAATGTTCTTGCAAGATATCTATTAGCCTCTCCAGAAAACAAATTGTCTCGAAGAATGTTCGGAAGAATGTTCTTGCAAGATATCTCATTAGCCTCTCCAGAGAAAACAGAATTGTCTCGTATTATCTCTCGGAAGAATGTTCTTGCAAAGATATCTCATTAGTCTCCTGAAAACAGAATTGTCTCGTATTATCTCTCGGAAGAATGTTCTTGCAAGATATCTCATTAGCCTCTCCAGAGAAAACAGAATTGTCTCGTATTATCTCTCGGAAGAATGTTCTTGAATATCTCATTCTCCATAGAAAACAGAATTGTCTAGTATATCTCGGAAGAATGTTCTTGCAAGATATCCATTAGACTCTCCAGAGAAAACAGAATTGTCTCGTATTATCTCTCGGAAGAATGTTCTTGCAAGATATCTCATTAGTCTCTCCAGAGAAAACAGAATTGTCTCGTATTATCTCTCGGAAGAATGTTCTTGCAAGATATCTCATTAGTCTCTCCAGAGAAAACAGAATTGTCTCGTATTATCTCTCGGAAGAACATATCTCATTAACCTCTCCATAGAAAACAGAATTGTCTCTCCATAAGAATCTCATTAGCCTTGTCTCGTATTATCTCTCGGAAGAATGTTCTTGCATATCTCATTAGCCTCTATCTCATTAGTCTAGGAAGAATGTTCTCTCATTAGTCTCTCCAGAGAAAACAGAATTGTCTCGTATTATGTCTCTCGGAAGAATGTTCTTGCAAGATATCTCATTAGCCTCTCCATAGAAAAAACAGAATGTTCTCGTATTATCTCTCGGAAGAATGTTCTTGCAAGATATCTCATTAGTCCTCTCCAATTAGAAAACAGAAATTGTCTCGTATTATCTCTCGGAAGAATGTTCTTGCAAGATATCTCATTAGCCTCTCCAGAGAAAACAGAATTGTCTCGTATTATCTCTCGGAAGAATGTTCTTGCAAGATATCTCATTAGCCTCTCCATAGAAAACAGAATTGTCTCGTATTATCTCTCGGAAGAATGTTCTTGCAAGATATCTCATTAGCCTCTCCAGAGAAAACAGAATTGTCTCGTATTATGTCTCGGAAGAATGTTCTTGCAAGATATTCATTAGTCTCTCAAGAAAACATATCTCATTATCTCTCGGAAGAATGTTCTTGCAATATATCCAGTCTCTAGAAAACAGAATTGTCTCGTATTATCTCTCGGAAGAATGTTCTTGCAAGATATCTCATTAGTCTCTCCTCTCCATTATCTCTCGGAAAACAAGAATTGTCTCGTATTATCTCTCGGAAGAATGTTCTTTGCAAGATATCTCATTAGCCTCTCCAGAGAAAACTGAATTGTCTCGTATTATCTCTCGGAAGAATGTTCTTGCAAGATATCTCATTAGCCTCTCCAGAGAAAACAGAATTGTCTCGTATTATCTCTCGGAAGAAGCAAGATATCTCATTGTTCTCCATAGAAAACAGAAGTATTATCTCTCGGAAGAATTAGCTATCTCTCCAGAGAAAACAGAATTGTCTCGTATTATCTCTCGGAAGAAAACAGAATCTCTCGGAAGAATGTTCTTGCAGATATCTCATTGCCTCTTAGAAAATAGAATTGTCTCGTATTATCTCTCGGAAGAATGTTCTTTGCAAGATATCTCATTAGTCTCTCCAGAGAAAACAAATTGTCTCGTATTATGTTCTTGCAAGCTATCTCATTAGTCTCTCCAGGAAAAGAATGTTCTCGTATTATCTCTCGGAAGATATCTCATTAGTCTCTCCATAGAAAACAGAATTGTCTCGTATTATCTCTCGGAAGAATGTTCTTGCAAGATATCTCATTAGTCTCTCCATAGAAAACAGAATTGTCTCGTATTATCTCTCGGAAGAATGTTCAAGCAAGATATCTCATTAGCCTCTCCAGAGAAAACAGAATTGTCTCGTATTATCTCTCGGAAGAATGTTCTTGCAAGATATCTCATTAGCCTCTCCATAGAAAACAGAATTGTCTCGTATTATCTCTCGGAAGAATGTTCTTGCAAGATATCTCATTAGCCTCTCCAGAGAAAACAGAATTGTCTCGTATTATCTCTCGGAAGAATGTTCTTGCAAGATATCTCATTAGTCTCTCCAGAGAAAACAGAATTGTCTCGTATTATCTCTCGGAAGAATGTTCTTGCAAGATATCTCATTAACCTCTCAGAAAACAGAATTGTCTCGTATTATCTCTCGGAAGAATGTTCGTATTATCTCTCGGAAGATTGTTCTTGCAAGCTATTTAGTCTCTTAGAAAACAGAATTGTCTCGTATTATCTCTCGCAATATATCTCATTAGCCTCTCCAGAGAAAACAGAATTGTCTCGTATTATCTCTCGGAAGAATGTTCTTGCAAGATATCTCATTAGCCTCTCCAGAGAAAACAGAATTGTCTCGTATTATCTCTCGGAAGAATGTTCTTGCAAGATATCTCATTAGCCTCTCCATAGAAAACAGAATTGTCTCGTATTATCTCTCGGAAGAATGTTCTTGCAAGATATCTCATTAGCCTCTCCATAGAAAACAGAATTGTCTCGTATTATCTCTCGGAAGAATGTTCTTGCAAGATATCTCATTAGTCTCTCCATAGAAAATCTCTCGGAAGAATGTTCTTGCAAGATATCTCATTATTATCTCTCGGAAGAATGTTCTTTGCAAGATATCTCATTAGTCTCTCCATAGAAAACAGAATTGTCTCGTATTATCTCTCGGAAGAATGTTCTTGCAAGATATCTCATTAGCCTCTCCATAGAAAACAGAATTGTCTCGTATTATCTCTCGGAAGAATGTTCTTGCAAGATATCTCATTAGCCTCTCCAGAGAAAACAGAATTGTCTCGTATTATCTCTCGGAAGAATGTTCTTGCCTCTCCAGAAAACAATTGATATCTCTCATTAGCTATCTCATTAGAAAACAGAATTGTCTCGTATTATCTCTCGGAAGAATGTTCTTGCAAGATATCTCATTAATCTCTCCAGAGAAAACAGAATTGTCTCGTATTATCTCTCGGAAGAATGTTCTTGCAAGATATCTCATTTCTTAGAAAACAATTGTCTCGTATTATCTCGGAAGAATGTTCTTTAGCTCTCCAGAGAAAACAGAATTGTCTCGTATTATCTCTCGGAAGAATGTTCTTGCAAAAGATATCTCATTAGTCTCTCCTCCAGAAAACAGAATTGTCTCGTATTATCTCGGAAGAATGTTCTTGCAAGATATCTCATTAGCCTCTCCATTAGAAAACAGAATTGTCTCGTATTATCTCTCGGAAGAATGTTTCTTGCAAGATATCTCATTAGCCTCTCCAGAAAACAGAATTGTCTCGTATTATCTCTCGGAAGAATGTTCTTGCAATATATCTCATTAGCCTCTCCAGAGAAAACAGAATTTTCTCGTATTATCTCTCGGAAGAATGTTCTTGCAATATATCTCATTAGTCTCTCCAGAGAAAACAGAATTGTCTCGTATTATCTCTCGGAAGAATGTTCTTGCAAGATATCTCATTAGTCTCTCCAGAGAAAACAGAATTGTCTCGTATTATCTCTCGGAAGAATGTTTCTTGCAAGATATCTCATTAGCCTCTCCTATAAAAAAAACTGAATTGTCTCGTATTATCTCTCGGAAGAAATGTTCTTGCAAGATATCTCATTAGTCTCTCCAGAGAAAACAGAATTGTCTCGTATTATCTCTCGGAAGAATGTTCTTGCAAGATATC